AGTGTCATCATGCTAATTGTCACAAAGATGTGAACCAAAATGATTGTGGTGTTCATTTAAATGATAACAACTGCATATCCAGATCCAATTAGGGGGGGAAAGACAGAAGCAGTTTGGTTTGAATGCCACATTAAACCAAAACTGAACCCCAGAGAGCTGTGTGTTTATGAGTAATGATGAAAATGGAACAGTAAGGAGAATCTGGGTCCATCTGTGATTGTCGTAAGGATACGTCCCACGGGCTGATTGAATGGAGGAGGGCATGAAACATCAGCGCACTGACAGGAGTGCTCTGGCGAGTTTAGTGAGAGATGTGGGGGTGAGCCATCTGTTTGAAAGACCTAAAAGAAGCGAGATGGAGAAAGAGATGAGAGGCAATTACCTGAAGCATCAGGAGGGACAGGTGTCTCATATCTGCTCCACCCAGGAATGAAGTGCTGATGAATGAGAGCATGCAGAGACTAAATATTCACACTAAACGGACAGATTTGTGCTCTCTTCTCAACACAAAGAAGGAAACAATTCATTCAAGGCACTGTTAGGATTAGGAGGGATCAAGCATGAGAGTGACAACACTTAAAACAGACAGCAATGCTTATCGGCATCCCTAAAATGGCCACCGACACATCAACCGGCCCACCAACTGCAAGGACACAAAAGACTGAGACTCTCCATTCCAATTAAAGGCACCATGAGCTTGACAGGCCAGAGAGATATATTACTGTCCGAGGTGAAAGTTCAACGATGTATGTGCTATTGAAAGATTAAAAATGCTTTCTATCCTTCAGCTCTAAAGCGTCAGAAGCATCAGTCTCTGTTCATTTAAAAGGAGGTGGATGATTTGCATGTATGGCGCACTAACATTGAGCTGCCTACTTCAATATATTATAATGCGCTGCTTGCCCTTAATGGAGAATCAATGACAGGACAAGCCTGTCACCTTCGAGTCGACGCAAACGCAATTTACACATTGACATGTGGGGTGTGTGTGATTGATTCTGACTGCTTGAGGGTTTTAATATTGTTTTCCGTGCGCTCATTGACTCTCACTCACCGTCTTCCACATTTATCCATGAAAGCTCACCGTCTGGCAAAGGCTTAATTGCACTGTCTACGCCCCTCCCTTTGAGACATTAAAACGCTCTCATCGTCTTGCCACTCCTTTCTTTCCTGACCGAGGCATTGGAAATGTCCAGACACTAGGGATGGGAAGATTTCCCGATTTGCTCGGTGCATCTGCATAAAAAGTTAACGATGCGATGCATCGGTTTAAAAAGTGTGCATCGGCTACATGTTGTCATTTATATCGCGATGCATCGTTTCTAACGTAGTTGCATCTGTAAAAACCGATTTATTTATATATAATTACTAGTGGATGCGCTATACTTTTATTATTTAGAAAGTGACCAATAATCTGTGACCAATATTTTATATGTAGATCTCTCATCACCGCTGCTGAATATGAAATATGACGAATCACAACACCACGGAGACCCGAGGAAAAACTGGGATTAAAGTCCAAAACGAAATAACCGCTACGGACAACGCTGCTGCGCACATGCACACTAAACAGACGGAGCGCAATCGAATAGGAGCGCAATAATTCTGAGTAAAATATACATTTTGCTAAAAAAATTGTTTTTGGACATTAAACAAAAAAATTTTGGTCTTTTGTTGAATTTTAAACCTACATATAAAGTGTATTTTTATGATAGCAGTAACTGTAAGTGGACTATTGTAATAGGTAAATCAAATGTAAGCTAGTAGGCTACTAATTACTAAGCTCAAATTAGTTAATGTGTGTTTCTTATAGCAGTTAAAATGTAGTAATTTTCTTTATTTATTTTCATTTTTAATTCAGTGATTTTAAAGGGTTAGTTCACCCAAAAATTAAAATTAGGCTGAGTTTTACTCACCCCCGAGTCATCCTAGGTGTATTTGACTTTCTTCTTTCAGACGAATCCAGTCGGAGTTATATTAAAAATTGTCTTTGATCTTTCAAGCTGTTTCATGGCACTCAGCGGGTGTTGCAGTGCTTCAGTCCAAAAGAAGTGAAATAAAAAGCGCCCATCCATAAAAAAAGTGTCTCACACGGCTCCGGGGGGTGAACAAAGGCCTTCTGTAGCGAATCGATGCGTTTTTGTAAGAAAAATATCCATATTCAAAACGTAATAATCACTTTAATCTAGCTTGCGCCAACAGTTGTACACGGAAGCAGCTGCAGAAGGATGAGGTATGAGGTCAGCATTGTGCATGCGCCGCTCAGAAGTGACGAACGCGGAAGCGCAGCGGAGAGATCGAAACAAAACAACGGTCACTTATTAGAAGTACAAAAGGAGGATTTGTAATAAAAATTTCGATATAAGCCAAGAGGAGACTGGTTTTCCTTTGCTAAAGTAAGGAAACTTTGCTTCCTTTGGTCCTGTAAACAAACGTTGGTTTTCACGAGACTCACCGGCGCATGCACAGCGCTGACCTCATACGTCATCAGCCTGGAGCTGCTTCAGAGCTTTTTATTTCACTTCTTTTGGACTGAAGCACTGCAACACCGCTGAGTGGCATTAAACGGCTTGAAAGATCAAAGACAATTTTTAATATAACTCCGACTGGATTCGTCTGAAAGAAGAAAGTCATATACACCTAGGATGCCTCGGGGGTGAGTAAAACGCAGCCTACTTTTCATTTTTGGGTGAACTAACCCTTTAACTTTTAATTTCGTTATTGTAATGCTTTAAAGAGCCATTTTAGATTGTAATATTCTAATATTCTGCTATCTGTTCCGAAAACTATAAAAGGTACAGCTGTAATAAAACCAGAGAGAAAGGCTGCATGGCTAGAAACTGTATAAAAAAAAAAAAAAAAAGTCAGATAATAGTATGTGAGACAGTGGTAATATCATTGTGTTCCTGTCGGTCAGTAGAGGAGCTGAGCTTAGCCTGACAGTTAGCCTGCTTTAGACCAGGTTAGTTTCCCAGCATAAGTTACCACAGTGACTAAGCTTGATCTAGGCCTATGTTAAATTTGCTTTATGGAGCCAAATCATTTGACAATGAGTCAGACTAACTGAAATAAGCCTGGCTTATTTGGCTAACTTGATTTATGAAACGGGCCTCGAGGCATTAAAAGTGATCATATTTTCTCCATTGCATCATATTGCATCGAATCGCATTGTGTTGAATCGAATCGAAATCGGATTGCACTGCATCGTAACAGGGGTGAATCATATTGCATCGGTAGCTGCTTCATATGCATCTTTAATGTATCGTATCGTTGGCTATGCATCGAGATGCGTATCGTATCGGCCTCAGTCATGAGATGCACATCCCTAGTGTGAGAGTGTGTGTGTGTGTGAGAGAGAGTTTGTGTGTCTGTGTGTGTGTGTGTGTGTGTGTGTGTGTGTGTGTGTGTGTGTGAGATCACTGGCAGCAGTAATGTGAATTAGTATTATGAGAGGGCTAGTATGTAATCATACCGCTGCTGTCAGCATTGATATTAGGAGTATGCCGTTTCATCAATGTGTTTATTTCTGCAGATGATCATTTCTCATGGTCAGGCGCAGGAGCCACAGTCTTTGGAAGTACAGGGACACAAAAGGAAGGAGAAAAAACAAGCCATGAAGCAGAAGAGGAGGGCAGTGATGAAGAGACGACTCGTAATGAGGAGATCCACTTTGAGCCGATCGTGTCTCTGCCTGAGGTGAGTGTTTGCTGTGATGCTGGTAGCTGTGCTCCTCGTGTCTCTGGAGAAGTGTGACGTGTGCTGATCCTGCAGGTGGAGGTGAGGTCTGGTGAGGAGGACGAGGAGATCCTGTTCAGAGAAAGAGCCAAACTGTACCGCTGGGACCGCAAGCTCAACCAGTGGAAGGAGCGCGGCGTGGGAGACCTCAAGATCCTCTTCCACCCGCTGAAGAAGAGCTACCGCCTGCTGATGAGACGCGAGCAGGTGCTCAGAGTCTGCGCCAACCACAGCATCAGCCCGAGCATCGAGCTCAAGCCCATGAACACCTCGGCTAACTCTCTGGTGTGGACCGCCACCGACTACTCAGGTGCAGCCCTCACTCCTCGCCACACACATGAAAATGAGCACAATACCTTCAAAATGATATATGACTTGTTGAAATCGGACAAAAAATGACTGAGCTACAGCCGTTTGAAGACGATAGTCAGCAGAGTTGATTTAGAGAAAAATCAAGCTAAAGATTTCAAAGCAAAATCACCTAGCAGTGTTGCATATTGTCCTCCAATTCTTGTTTTAATAATAATTACTATATTATTAATCACAATATAGCTGTCTTTTATTTTATCTTTGTCATTAAAAATAAGAACAAAGATGCAAATAAACAGTAGTTTAATCAAGAGCAGTGAGTGATTCCCTCTTTTCTTTGAATGTGTGATTAACATTGAGACAGATCTATATTAAGACCTGCTGTAATGCGTGGATCTAATATAATGTTACGCTTCAGATTTTTCCCCAACCTTTCACTAAACGTTCGTGTAAGACATAATAGATTATGTTTGTGTGAATCTCGCCAAGACATATTTTACAATGATGTACTTTATAGTGAGATGGCTTGCTCTCGGAGAGGCGCGACCGTTTTGTTTTCATCAGCATGGGTTTGAAAATCATATTTCACTGGTTTGGACTCGTATCATGAAGAATTCGATATGAATATTCACAAAGCTGGAATGAAGAAGATACTCCTCTCAGAAAACATAAAAATAAAGATACCTTCGCCAGGCTCCCGACAGGATTGGGTGCGTGAGAGAGGAGGGGCGCTGAAATAGCCAGGGCTGGTGGCGTGTGACGGGGCACACCTGAACCGAATGGAGCCTCATCACCGCCGCTGTTCAAATGCCGAGCGCGCCTCTCCTTCGGCCGTCGGGCAAGGATGCTGGGCCGTCTAGTCCCTTCAAGCGCCGTGGGCAGAGAGAAGGACAAAGCCGCTGATGTAAGCCGCCGCCCCTCGCACCCCGGACCGGAGAGGGGAGCGCGAACGGCCGCCGGACTCCGCCCCTTACCTGGACCCTTCCTTCCTGACCACTGCCCTTCCCTTCACGAACCCCGCAGCACGACGAGGACACCAGATCCCCTGTTTATTTTGGACGCTTGATTCCCATTTTTCTGGACACTTTGTTTATTTTCTGTTAATAAACTCTGTCGTTTGCTCCTCCCGCGACAACACCCATTAACGTAAACTACGCCAGAGCGCGTACACACCTCACGCACCGGAAGCCGTGCGCGCGCACAAAGACATTTGGACATAGTGGTGTATTAGAGGTAAAAAATTATATAAATACGGTTTCTGGCACAAACCGATCGTTTCGTGTGTTAGGACATCGATGTGTCATCACGAGTCGCAGGGTTTAATTTTGGATTTGTCTGTGCATGTTTTATTTACACATTGTTACCATTGCCATGCATTATACGACTGCAACGGTTGGACTTAAAAAATCATCAAATGTGTTCTACTGAAGAAACAAAGTCACCTACATCTTGGATGCCCTGGGGGTAAGCAGATAAACATCACATTTTCATTTTTGGGTGAACTATCCCTTTAATTAACTCGTTTTTGTGAAAACCTCAAATTCGACCAAAACTGACATTTTTCACTTCTTTTGCCTGCAGCTCAAAATAAGACTCTTTTTTTGCCAGCACGGGTCAGATCTCTCTCCCGCCGCTGTCCTCACGTCTGTATGTTTGTCCACACAGAGGGAGACGGGAAAGTGGAGCAGCTGGCGGCCAAGTTCAAGACTCCAGAGCTGGCGGAGTCCTTCACACGAGCCTTCACAGACTGCCAGAGCCGCATGTGTCAGACTGACGCCGCTCAGACGTCTGCTGCCGAGGCGCTGTCTCGAGACTCCAACCCTGTGGTGTTCTTCGACATCACCGTAGATGACGAGCGTGCTGGGACAGTCGTCATGGAGCTCTTCGCTCACCTCGTGCCCAGAACGGCGGAGAACTTCCGGGCTCTGTGTACGGGAGAGATGGGCTTCGGTTACCGCCAGTCCGTCTTCCACAGGATCATCCCGGACTTCATGTGTCAGGTGAGGACACGCTGATATTCTGCAAACTCACTGATGATGGCTTCTATACCAAAACAGCATGAATATTCCTTTACATCAGTGCTCTGAAATAGATTCTCAATGTCAAAACGATCATCGTGCAACTGCTACCTATAAAATCAACACATAATGCACGTCTGTCAGTAATAGGGCTGGGACAATAAATCGATGCATCGCAAATAGAGAAACGATTCTGCATCGATTCTGAGATTTTCTGAGCTTAGTTTTTAACAGCAGATGGCACTGTGTGCTTTCAAGACTGCTGCACTCTGCTTGCTTCCAGTTCCTTACACACACACACACAGCACTTGAGCCTAAAATAATAATTCATACAGTTTGAAAAGGTTGAGGTGAATTGCAAGGGTTCATAGTGGGCTGTGTTTACATTAGTCTTGTGTCATAAAAGCATAAAAGCCAAGGTTCAAGTACATTTAACCACTTGCAATAACGCACAGGCACTCTTCTTCATGAGCATTTGAGTGTGCGGTTAAAAACTAGATCAGAGCGCCATCTGCTGTTAAAAACTAAGCTCAGAATTGATTCCAGAGAGAATTGCGATGCATTCCCAAAATCTCAGAATAGATCCCAATAGATCCATTTTTTCTGTGCTCATGTTAACGGATCAGAGCGTTCACACTGCACACGGTTGCGTTCCAGGAGCGGTGCGTCTGCAGCAGGGCAGAGATCGAGTCTGAGTCTGTTTCTGCTGTGCTGCACGCGCCTAATTAAAGTCACAGCGCATTGTTCACGGTGCATGTGAACATGGATTGACACGAAAATGTAGTAATTACACCATAAATGCATATAATTAAAGCCTACTGTTTCACAGTCAACACACATGACTTTTTGGTTAGGTTTAAAACAAGGAAAAGTGCACTTTTAGATGAACAAGACAATATGTGACCCTGGAGCACAAAAGCAGCCTTAAGTCGCTGGGGTATATTTGTAAAACATCCCATGTTTCGGTCGTGACAGTAATGCTTTGGTAGCGACCACATCACATTACAGAATTTTAGCTCACATACTAAAACTATTTAGAGACAAAAATTCTAAAAATGCTTATTTCCCCCAAATAAAGGATTACGTGTTTCCCTTTTGATGGCATGTTTTGGTCGTCCCAACTGAAAGTACCCAATAAATGATTATTTAATATATATTAAGCTTGCTGATATTTTTTATATTATTGTGTGTTTCAACAGATAATAGAAGGATCTTAGTAAGCATCTAAGATTTGAATACTTAAATGCTTTTTAAATGTGTTTTGGTTGTGGGACAGCAGTTAGCACCAATTCTGTAGAATGTCCCATTGACAAAAAATCTAGTAGCATCTCAACGAAAGTAAAAGGTCTGCTTGGAGTAACTGAACCTCTGGAGCGAAACGGGTCATTATTGAACATTATGAACTAAGCACATTAAAAATGAGATGCAAACAGCTGGTTAAGGTGGCGGTCTGAAATATCTAGATTCTGGAGTGTTTCTGCTCCTAGCTGTGGTTTCTGATTTAAATAACTCAGGTGTGTGTGTTTGGGTCCTGCTGTCTCTCAGGGCGGTGATATCACCAGCCAGGATGGGACGGGAGGGAAGTCCATCTACGGAGGGAAGTTTGAGGACGAGAGCTTCGAGGTGAGGCACACGGGGCCGGGGCTGCTGTCCATGGCCAACCGCGGCAGAGACACCAACAACTCGCAGTTCTTCATCACCCTCAAGAAAGCAGAGCACTTAGACTTCAAGCACGTGGCCTTCGGATTCGTCAAAGACGGCATGGATGTGGTGAGGAGAATCGGAGAGCTGGGCACGAAAGACGGGAAACCCACAGAAACCATCACTATCTCAGACTGTGGACAGATGTTTTGAGCTGTTCTACACAAACTACTGTTCATCATGTTTGAGACCGTGTTCCCTGAACTCTTGTGTAAATCAGAACTTGTATACGCAGTGGTTTTATTTTTGTCCTGTTTGTGTGTTAATAAAGTGGACAGCACTAGTTGACAATAAAATTAATGCAAAAAAAAGAAAAACTTTATTTTATTACAGAGCTTGTTTACCCCAGAGTTTCCTCACGTTTACAGGGGCGTAATTGGGCAGAATGTGAATCTTTTGAAGACTTTATTTGTTAAATGTGTGTATTTGGTTGAAGATCACTTCACTGACACGAGGTCCCACACAAACACAGCCATGTTTCTTGCCACTTTGAATTTCTTGAACATAAAATAAACTTCTGACAACTTGAGTTTCACTATTTATTCAAAGTGTGTCATGTCATCATTGATGAGAAACTGCATGCTGTCAAATGCTTCTGAACCAAGTGAAAGCAAAGCTGCGGTTTCTCCTTTAGTTTTGACAAATGTTTCAGGAAAACTGGTCGCTTAAGTTACCTCGGACTAACCAGCAGTGACGTCAGGAGTTAATATTCCTTTGTGTGCACTGCAGTAAATGCACTCTTTAATTCATTGAATTGAATTGAATTAATTGTTTATAAACGGCTACATTAAACCTTTTAAGAGGCCTGGTTACTTTTACAGTGTTTTTATAAACTTTTTGAAGTTCGAGTTTATGAACGCGGTAGTTCACCCCAAAATGAAAATTACCCCATGACTTTGTGCTTTCAGATGAATATAATCGGAGTTCTATTAAAAATGTCCTGGCTCTTCCAAGCTTTATAATGGCAGTGATTGGTGGTTGAGATTTTGACACAGACACACAACAGCACGTTTTATATATTTTTTCCTGTTTATTCGAAACATTCCCCAAACGCATTAACTATATCAGGAAATATCTTGATTCTCATCTTTATAGATTGTTGATCTATAGTGGGCAATGGTCAAAGTAACCTAATAATGTATTCTATTAACTATGCTTATTACACGGCTCTGTGGAATACTTGATTCTGATTGGTCAATCGTGCCATCCAGCGGTATGTTATTCCCAGATAACAACCGCCAAATTGAATAACACACCGCTCATCTGGGTACTACGAGTTATCTTGACCGGTACTACTTATATGCTTAACGAGTCACTCCGCTATCGTTGACTGTCTGGCGCCATCTTGTGACTGAAAACACTTAACCACCGCGTGTTACAATGGAAGACTTCAGCATTAATTTCAACATGTATGGTAACAGACAGTCTAGTTCAGGACTGGTCCTGGAGGGCCGGTGTCCTGCAGAGTTTAGCTCCAACTTGCCTCAACACACCTGCTGGTAAGTTTCTAGTATGCCTATAAGAGCTTGATTAGCTGCTTCAGGTGTGTTTAATTGGGGTTGGAGCTAAACTCTGCAGGACACCGGCCCTCCAGGACCGAGTTTGGGCAGCCCTGGTCTAGTTCAAGCACTCTCAAAAACTCCCATTAAAAGCACTGAAGCTGTTTACGCTATGAATTTTATATCTTACAGATTCGTACACACATTTGCACTTTGTTGTTTCTGACGAGAGAATTGGCCAGAAAGAGGTATTCAGACAGAGAGCGGGTGAAGAAAACACCGGCATTTTAGCGATGACTCATCGGAACACCTCTGATTGGTCATTGCACTCATAAGCTCAACAGCATCGCGTGTGATTGGTTAATGCGCTGGCTCCGGCTCAGCGCCAGCCAGCGAACACAGAATTTAGTAGCTGATGATATGACGCACTGAACGTTCTAATCACGCCGCTGTGATTGTATTAAATATAGAAAATATTGATCTGCTATTTTTTGTCTTTTGGAAACTGCATTCAAAATCCACTTGGCTCAAAAATCTGAGGGGGCATGTGCACCCTCACTTTGAATGGGCATGACGCCTTTAAGTGACATGAGCGCGAGTAAATGACAGAATGATCTTGTTTGAGTGAATGGACCCTTTGAAAATAATACCTTCACAACTCATCTCATCTGTATGATGTACAGTAGCACAGCATTAAAGACTGTAGGCTATAAAAAGCCTAGTAATTAAGGCCATTTTTCGATTTTGCTGTAAAATGCTGTTTTGAAATGTGCGGATGCTGCAGCTCCAGACACACACACACACACACACAGACTCACTCACACACAGACACTCACACACACACACAAACACACGCTCACACAAACACAGACACACACACACACACACAGACACTCACACACACACACACACACACACACACACACAGACACACACACACACACACACAGACTCACACACACACACACAGACACACACACACACACACACA